ACTATAATGTCTCACCGGGTTCACTGTGTGTGTTCATCATCATCACCAATTCTAAGTTCTCCCCAACAGAGGCTAGCAATGGTGTGAAGCAAGAGTAGAAAACCTCACAATACGATGATGCTGTCTCACATGCTGAACTCACCCTGGAGTTGCCATTTTTGAGCCGCATACCCGTAACATGATATGGCTCAGCTCTTAAACAGTTCTAAAACGAAGGAGTGCTCAGTGGCCGAACAGGTAGAATACAGAATGGGAACAGTTACGGAACAGCAAGAGGAGCCTGAACATGGCTACAACCTGAACTCAGGAGCATGAAGAACGGAATTTCCGGAAGGAAGTCTCCCAAACAGAACCTTGAGAGGGGTCACTGAGAGACACTTCATCTGTATTACATCTCTTTTTCTTTGGCACTGGTGTCTAAGGCCCAGTCCACACATGCAATAGAATGAGGTGGAAGAGTCTTGAGGTGGGCTGTAACAACACAGACAGTAGTTACGGAGAAGCATATTTTTAATGCCCCCTCATGTAAATGCTTCCAGTAGATCACAGAGAATGTTTCCGGCCTAGCTCTGCCTGCTGTGTTTTCTCTTTACACAGGCATTACTTGTATGCCAACTTCAAAGCACCGTGCAGGGGAACTTCAAAAAACAGCATATCTCTCTTGCAGTCAAAATGGTACAGTCCATTATATCACCTCAGCAATCCGCCACCTCACTCTGTGATACGTCCAGCCCAGTCTTAAGAGACATCTAAACCAAGTGTATATTCATTTTAATGTGGTACTATTAAGCAATGACATCAGCAGGGAGAATACTTTGAACTTCAAAACAAAGAAGTTTTTCTTTTGATCCTGAAAGCATCCTACAAGGCAACATGTCACATTATTTTCCGGCGAGGGTGGTGTGCAAAGAAACCTGGAATACAAAATACTGATTTTGTACTGCAGAAAAACAGATGTGTTGGAGGGGAAAATGCATCTCTCGACACTCTATATTACAATTGACTTTCCCTTCAATATTACACATAATTTTGATTCTGAAGTTTATATTTAATTTACTGCGTATCGACAATCGGGAAAACCTCGGAGACAGCAACATTTCAGTTTGGAAACCTTAATTTGCCCAGCTATTCTGTTCTGCCTGAGGTTTGCTTCTTAAACCTGGGTCATTGTCGGATGAAACAAGGAAAGGGTAACAAATTGAAAATGGGGCTGGAGACCTCCCTTCACGTTGAATAGTGACCATGTCAGCTTGGAATTTGACATAGAGAAGGATGTGAAACCAGGACATATTAGGACTCGTATCCTGGACTTTCGAGCAAGGGATGCTCTGTCATCTTGGTGCTTGGGGGGGTCAACAGTGGGAGGGCTTCTAATGTCCTGGCCCCACTGGTGGACCTCCTGATGGCACTGGTATTTCTGGCAACTGTGTGATACAGAGTGTTGGACTGGATGGGCCTTTGGCCTGATCCAACATTGGCATCTCTTACGTTCACTTCATCAACCAGTTCTTCCCTGTTAGTCAGGATTAAATCCAGGATAGCAGATCTTCTGGTTCCCACCTCCACCTTCTGAGAGATGAAGTTGTCCGCAAGACTATTCAAGAATCTGCGGGATGCCCCATGTCTAGCAGAGTTAGATTTCCAGCAAATATCTGGATAGTTGAAATCTTCCATAACCACTACATCCCGTCTCTGTGAAAGTTTAGCAAGCTGTTGTACAAATGCATCATCCAGTTCCTCCAGTTGGTTTGGAGGTCTGTAGTATACCCCCACAATAATAACCCCCCCCCCCGCTCTATCCTTACCCACACACTTTCAACAGGGCAACTCTCAAAATCCTGAATTTCAGCGCAAGCGTATTCATTCTTGACATATAGTGCCACACCGCCTCCTTTTTTTTGTTAATTCTGTTCCGTTTGAACAAGGTATATCCTTCAATCGCTGTGCTCCATATATGAGACTCATCCCATCAAGTCTCAGTGATACCTATCAGATCATACTTACTTTCCAATATTTGAAGTTCAAGTTCCTCCTGTTTATTTCCCATATTTTGTGCATTAGTATAAAGACATCAGAAGTTACAGACATCCTTTCCTACCATAAGTCCCTTTGAATTTACCTGAAAATTACTGAACTCACCCCATTCATTTATTCTCTGGTCACTCCCCTTCTTGAACTTAGTGTTGGGGATGCCGCACAACATCAGGCTTTTTCTTCCCACCCCCGATGTCTTCAGTTTAAAGCCCTCCTGATCAGGTTCGCAAGTCTTCCAGCAAAGACATTCCTCCCATTCTTTGTAAGGTGCAAACCCATCCGTCGCCAACAGTCCTTCGTGTTGGAGGTACATACCATGGTCCAGGAAGCCAAATCCCTCTCGACGGCACCATCTACGTAGCCAGCCACAATATTCTATAACATTTCCATGCCCCTTGTTTGTTTTAGAATTTCAGCATCACATTACCTGGCAATTTTGTCTGTGCAAGACATTGTGACTAGCTGTTCCCCCAGAAGCACGCCATCCCACGTCTGAACTGCACCGTGACATCGCGCCGGGATGGTTCCTTCCCCAGATTCAATCTTTGTTCGGAGATGCCCACGGTACTTCCTTACTATGTGCTTGCTGCTGTTCACTGGGTTTAAGGAAAAGAGAGAAAGAAGTGACAATGAGGAGAGAGCAGATCAATATTTTTTATGTTCATCTCCTGTGGCGAACCAGACTGAGGTTGTGTACCCTTTTAAACTCGCTCTCCATAAGAGTGAATTCAGGTTATCCGTTTCGTAATAAGATCCACTGAACTCGACAGGACTTACTTCTGAGAAAGCACTGCATAGGACTTGGCTGCATGACCTTGCATTTGTTTGGCTGCATTTATTTATTTAGGTAGTTTATATGCCACCTGTCCAGAGAGTGTACTCAAGGGGGCTTACAAAGTAAAACACAATAAAAACATAACATAAAACTTGTTAACTATTAAAACTATGGGGGAACCCACCCTAGCCTGAACATAAAACAGCATGAGCCACTGAAAAGAGTTCTCATCCTTCTAAAAATGATGTTAAATGGTCCACCTCTTCATTAAAAGCCCAGGTGAAAAGACATGTCTTGGCCTGGTGCTTAAAAGAGAACAGGGCAGCACCAGGCGAGCCTCAAAGGGAAGGGCATTTCATGGGCAAGGTGCCACCAAAGAGCAGGGGTTGTACGGACGATCTGAGCTGATACGATGGGCAGTATGGGAAGACCTGATCCTTCAAGTACCCTGCCTTGAAGCCATTTAGGACATTAAAGCTGTAGCAGTGAGCTTACATGACAAACCAAAGCGTGTGAGCTAGCTAGGCCTCCCGTGTCCCTCCAAAATGGAGTTTGGTAAGCCAAAGAGAGAAGGGGCACATGTATTTCTGTGTCTGAGGCGGGAAAGCTGTTTCTGAAGGCGACTCTTCCTACCCCCCTCAGCAAGTGTCTTGCCTACAAGGGCCTTGTTTGTTGGGCAGAAAAATGTTCCCTCTAAGCTGCGGAGTCGTGTGAGCAAAAATTCTACTTTGTGAGCTGCTGGCATTAAAGTCGTGAGCAAGCGATTTGGCTGCTGCATGAATTAGTTTGCTCTGGAGCCATCCTTCCTGAGCTAAGACAAAAATGTGTGAGCCGGAGGCTAAAAAACTGTGAGCTAGCTCACACTAACTCAGCTTAGAGGGAACACTGAATATCAGGTGTTGTGAGCCAACGAGCTGTTTGGGGCCACTGGCCACGGAGTGGCTTTTATCGAGTTCCTCCCATCATTTTGCTAGACCTGCAGGCTTTGTTACAATGTATTCTATGGCTGTTAGCGAGATCTGAAGCCATTGATTTGACTGTGGCTGGTGCCAATAGATTGTTTACAAAATGAAGGGGGAAAAAGGCGTTGGAAAAATAGATTGGTTCAGAGCCGTGGGATTTAGAAAGAAGAGCAAATGCACGCAGAACAGCAATTCTGGCGTTGACCTCCCAGCCACTCTGTCAGCTCCTGATCATGGTGTTCGTCGTCGCCTCCAGGGGCCTGCACAAAGGAAATGTGTCCTAATATGTCGTTACCTAGCACAAAGCACACTTTATGTGCAAAGCACACAGAATAATCTGAACTCTTTCTAGAAGCTAAAATGACTGGACTGCAGCTATTGTAACTTTGGTCACAGGGTGAGAAGACAATGGTCACTGGAAAAGACAATAGTGCCAGGAAAAGTTGATGGCCGCAGGAAAAGAGGAAGACCCCGCATGAGATGGACGGACTCCATCAAAGAAGCCACGAGGGCCCTCCGCTTGCAAGACCCGAGCGAGGCTGTTAACGAGGGGACATTTTGGAGGTCGTTAATTCATAGGGTCACCATAAGTTGGAGGAGACTTGGTGGCACTGAACACACACGCATATAACTCTGCCCCCATATTACCTTCTCAACAGTGAGGTATTTCTCGGTTATGAAGATTAGGGAACATAATGTAAAAGCTCTGGAGTGATGATCGTCTTCTGTATATTAAAATTATGGTTCTTGTTACGCTTTCAATCTATGCCAATAAATGTACTGAACTGAACTGAACATATAACTCCTTTAACCAGGGCTCTAGTCGGGGGGGAGCTCTCAGGTACGGAGCTCCGGAAGAGAACCTCTAGGGGGCGGGGCGGTCACGTGGTGAAGCCCCGCCCCCTTCTTTACCCCGCCCTCTGCTTCGATCCTCATTCCGTTTGGGAATGAGGATGAAGCAGGAGGGTAAGTAGCCGGGCCTTCTGACACACTTCCGGTGATGTCAGGGGGTGTG